GCAGGGGGGTTGGAACTACATGATCCTTGAGGTCCCTTCCAACCCGGGTGATTCTGTGATTCTGTGACTTGAGCATGCTCCATGCATTTATAAATCACATGGTATTTTGGTTTTCTTTTTTAATTCCTAGATCTAGGAAGAGAAAGAAAAAGCTCTTCTAAGTTTTTCTTTGATTGCATGGGAGATTATCTTAATTATACAATTAAGAGCAAAAGAAAATAGAAATAAGTGACCCTGAGTGTTTCAGTGACTTAAGTGAATTAAAATAATTTATTATCAAAACAGAAGTGCCATAAAAAGACCCATGATCTGTTAAGAGAGAAGTTGGGATCAGGATAATACTACTTAAGAAGGATAAAAGAAAGGTGTCCTACTTTCTCTCATTCCCATCTTTCCCATGAAAAGATGCAGGGTTCACTTGCAAAGAAGGAATCAACAGTAAGCAAGTTTTTCAACCCCTTCATTATTTTCCAGGTAACTTCTGCATCCTAGCAAAATTCTAGATCTCTCTTCTCAGGCTGTCAGTATGGATTCTAGCCTGCTTACACACAGTACTAGCAGCATTCCAGGCAGTTTCTCTGATCGTTATCTAAACTTGCAAAAAAACGAGCTGTTATGTAAACTCCATATGGCCTGTGTGGCATTTAAGAGACTCTGGCAAATTGTTCTTTCCTTTTTATGAATAACAAAGCAGCTCTTCATTATTACTTCTCTTCCTATAATTAACCCAGAAAATACGGATATATAATTTTGTAGATTGATGTGGCATCACAAAAAAATAACACAAATCATACTCTGCTCCTCATAATGGAAACTGTTCCTGAGAAAGCCTTACCCACATTTCAATATTTTTGCAGAGAAGACTAGAATCTCAAATATGCAGCAACACTCCCCAAACAATTGTAAAACCAGAATCCCACCTTTACAACACTACTGTTCAGTTAGATTAAATCTGTAGCCAAGTTCAAGGCTCTTTACTAACATGAGACACATGGCACATCTCAACAGCTTCTTCTCCTGATTCATTAACAATTGTCATTTAACTTCAACTTTTTCTTAGGATAAACTGAACACTTAAAATACATCTTGAAAAATCACAGAAAAGTTACTACACTAAATTACGTATTGTTTCAGTATTTGTACTTTTAGGTCAGAAGGTATTAGAAAAACCTCCATCTTCTTAGTAGTACATCTTAACAAACCTGCTCATCTGATACTGCATTAAAAAATGTTAGAAGAAGTGTAAGAACAATGCAAACAAAATAACTTACAGCAATTTATGTAATTATCACAGTTTCTCTATAATACTAATATATTCCATAAATGAAAAGCATGAAAATATTGGGCAGCGTATAGCAACTTTAGAGTTGCACTCTACTCTTTCTGGAGCTTATCTGAATCATTTCCTCTCTTTCAATGCAAAACATAAAATGCCTGATACTTCAATTAAGACTTTTTTTACTACACTGTAAAATAATACATGACTCTTTGGCATGCTGTTCTAAATACCTATATTCTAACAGCATTTGAAACCTGCTTTTGGACAGTGGAGTGCCAGAAGAAAAAACCAGCAATCAAGATACTGTTGTTTTTTTTTTTTTTCTATTGTGTAGACTCAACATGAGTCAGAATCAGCTGGGACAGATTTGTGACACTATTGTCTCCAGGTAAAGTTTTATGCTGTAAACCAAGTTTACAGGCTCCTTACGTGAATATCCAACTGCTTTTAACCCTCCACTACATGCATATCACTTACTATGTATGTGCAGTGTAGATGATCAGCAAATACTCAACAAATTAATCCGGTGTGCCATAATGTGCAGTGAACTCTGCAAGTAATTACACTGATTCTGGATCCCAGAACAACATATGCCCAGGAGCCTAAGGCTGAGACTGTCTGGAAGCCTGCACATCTGACTTGGAGGATTTGCTGGGCACGTACCTGTACGTTCCCCAAGCACCATTATAAAACCAGAGCCATAAAGGAATGAGAAGAGCAGAAGACACAAATATGAAATTACAAAATGTGAGGAAGGGTAAGCTTACAACAAAAGAGAAATAGAAGTCCAGCTTCCATCCGGAACACAGTAATGAAAAATAATGGACATACAAACGCATGGGGAACATTTTGCTCAAACTTTCCTTCTTTGCAGAAGTCTTGTAACATCTTCAAACTGGTAACTAAAGTCACAACTATTAAACAAGAACAAAAAATTTCCATGAGAAGGTGTCTATTAACACGATGCTACACAGATATCATGTCCTACTAGGACATGATTTTTTAGTTGTTCACTAAAAAATAAAAATAAAAAATACAAATTATGGAAAAAAACACATTATTGTAAAATGTGTATTTGCTTTTGTTACATGATAGTCTAGAAGCCAAGCAGCAACTTCAATATCGTGCCTTTGAAAGGATCTAGGTAGTAGGTTTTTTCAATTACTAATGCTATGTCATTTAAGTCAAAAAGTATAAATTTATTATTTACAAGTATGCTTTAAAGGTTATTACAGATTTATCCATTATGCAGCCAGAAATCAACTTTTTAAAACTAAACGTTTTGCTAAACTGCCTTTTCAAAGCAGCTATTTACCATAACTTAGGCCTGTAAATTAAGGTTTTTTTCTGTAGGCCTCTGTTAATGTACAAAGACATAAACTGTTTATACTTAAAAATGGAAAGGTAACTCAATTTAAATAAAAGTTGTTTTTTTAATCAATTATAAGACCAGCATATAGAAAGCAATAATAAACATAATTATACAATAAACACATTCTGAAACAAATTTATAGAAAATATCTGCAAAATAATGCTCCTTAGAACAGTGACCAGGGGTTTCTTGTCAGTAGGTAACCATCAGAAACTACTGAGATTTTCATCTGTGCTGTGTCTGTCAAAAAAGAATATGAAACTATTGGTAGAACATCATCTTTTGTTTTCACAGATTGTTTCTAATGCGTCTTTACTTGTACAGTGATGCCAGCTGCTTATCCAGAAAACATGAAAACACAGCTTTTTAAAAATATATTCTATTATTTTTTTCTTATATTAAAATGCGTATCACTCAATAACGGTTTTCTAAAATGTAAAAAGTATTGTATTTCATGTAGGTCAGTGGGCGTATTTTATTAGAATTTTAAAGCACATATTTCTTAAAATACTTGCTATGACCCCTGAGTCCTTTGAAGAAACCATCTTTTACCAGTTTACTGGATTCCGTCAAATTACTAAAAGTATAACACAAAACTTACATTAAAAAAAAATTAAGTCTCTTACACTTATGTTTTTAATCTGACTTATAAAACCTTCTAAGAATATAAAATCTAAGACTGGGTAATCATCAGTAGTATCATTGTAAAAGTATGGTTAAAGAAATAATAAAAAAAATGAAAAATGTTTCTTGTTTCTAGGCCCTCTATCTCAGTCAATTTAAAAGATTGCTCTTTCCACTGCATGTCTCAGAAGCAAGAAGGACTAGACTGACATCACACCCACACACTCTCGAAAAAATCACCACAGTCAGCTAACAAACTATTCCTCCCCTTTCCACCTATGAAGGCTCCTGTAGGAATGCATGCACGACAAGGCCAACAATTGACTTGGCTCCAAAGGTGTCTGCCAGGGGAAGGGAGATCATCTGAGTTATTTCTGCATGAAACAAAAGATGCACAGATGTTTAAATACAAATTTGCATCTTCTCTGCTGTTTCCACTGATGCACAGTTACATAAATGCAATTACGTATCCAGATGTCAAATTCTTTTCAGGTTTGGGACAGTGCAGGGGGAAAAAAAAGAAAAAAGAAATAACAACAGAATCACTGAATTGCAATCCGAATCTGCAATGAAAAGCAATCATATCACAGCAGCTTGAAAAGCACAGTAAATACATGGGAAATTTTGTTTCCCCAAAAAGGGGAAACAATAAAAAGAACACAAGAAAATTAACACGGGGAAGTTCCATGTCTAATGGAGCTGTTGCTAGTTTTTTTCCCCATGGAGAAAATAGTCAGATACGAACTATAACCCTTCTCAGACAGACACAGAATAGAGTTCTAACCTACTCCGTGCCATTTTTAAGTTATTACAAAGAATTCCAGAATTAAACTCCCTAATTAAAGAATTATTATAAAGTATTAAAGTATGTTCAAGACAAAACACAGACAAAAACCTAACACCATTCAAAGCATTGAATATCAAATCTAAGCACTAATAATCACTATTTTAGGTGATCTCAACCAAACTTAACAGTAGAAAACAGGAAACTAAAATCAGAAGTACTTTCCTGAACTAATTTAAATGTTTTGTCCTTCATCTGCTAAATTCCTCAGAGTTGGCATCCTTATTTTCTCCAGACAGTTTGGTCAGTCTCAAAGTGTGGTAGACAAGTTTGAGTTCTCAGAATATGGCAAAGTGTGATGACCTGGATGCAGCATGGCATGCCAGTACAATTTTTAGGTCAAATTCAGTGATAGATCAGTGTTGCAGTACTAAATACTACTACAGGCCACCAAAATGACAAAATTCATAGAGAAGAAAATCAAGAGAGCGCTAAAATTGTTGAAAAGCCAGCTACTCATCCCAATAATTTGAGATTCTCTTCAGCCACTGGTGAGCAACATGAACACAAGATTCCAAAAATAAATGAAGAGCAACCTATGAACTAAGCATGTATTTTTATAAAGAAAAATATCTTATATAAAAATTACCCAAATCTGATTTATTAAATAGAAACACTACTACATAAAATTACTGCTACAGGAAATAACATGTAAATCTTAACAGGAGAAAAATGAAGATATGACTGAGATCCTGCGTAATAAATTCTACTGTCTTGAATGTCTACAGAAAAATCTGGAACAGCTTTGAAGAGCTTACTCTACTCCTAAGCTGGTACGTGACAGAAGAAAATCTCTAGGAATTTGCAGGAGGTTCATCATACGAATGCAAACACAGACACAGAACAATGTATTTTATCAAAAAAGAAAGGGAAAAAATTACCTGGAACAAGTTCCATAACAATATAAATAGGTTGCCTTTGTGTGCAAACTCCTATGAGTTTTACAATATTAGGATGGTCATACTGTTTGAGTATTCTGAAAAACATACAGTAAGTTTATTATATTAATAAACTTTATTGTACAAACCAATTAAACAGAAAAATATCTTACACTCTCAATATTATTTTAATAGAATTTTCAGAAGAATTACTGTTATCAATTAAAAGATCAATGTCATAGACAAATTATTCTTCTGGTTGAGGGTATTTTTACTCAAAAATCAAGATCAACACTAGTAGTTCATTCTCACTGTAGTTTTAACATTTGTCTATGTAACATTTTATCTGTGTAACTGAAAAATATTCTGACAGGTTTGTATTTTCTGAGGAACCCTTGTAATTAAACAGTATGTAAGTGGTGTATCAGAAGAGAAGCTTTGTTGAAAATGCATGCAGAGCATGCCTCTACATTTTCCTGCTGCACTTTTCAAACGCACACTCATTTCAGTTTTAATTCACAAGATTGATTGATACAGTAAGTCTTAAAAGAATAAAAATACCGCAATTTTCATCTCTGGAATTAAAGCAAAAACATTTACATCTTCTTACACGGTACTTTAATAAGAACTTACACAGCCTAAATCAGCGTGCTATGATCTGTAAGTGAACTGAAGGTCTAGGAAGAATTCCAGAGAGATCTTTTAACTTAAAAATGTTTCTTCTACAATTTGATAACTTAAACCACCTAATCTTTTTCCTAATTTTTCTAGAAATGAGAGTGAAACTTGGGACATGCGGATTTAATGAAAAATAACTGATTCAGTGTGGGTTTTTTTTTTCATATAATATTCTATACAACACTGTTCCATTAGTGGCTGACTGCTAAGCAAATGAAAAAATCTCTGTGGTTGCCAAGTTATGAGCTGTTTAAAAACACTCAGCAAATACAGCATACACATATTGATCATACTACTTTCGGGCTTCACAGCCAGAACAGGCAATTTTAGTTCAAACAATTATGAGATTATCTCAATAGATCCTATCCTGAGCTTGAGTTCTGGAAACTATGCAGATAGCCACATAACCTATCTGTATTCAGAATACAGCGTGCTATGATATGAATGCCACTTACTGCCTGATACAGCAGTTGGACTGAAAGAGGAAGTTGCTAAATCTGTACCATAATCTCATTTAAATTAATATCTTCCAGGCTTCTTACTGTAATCCTTGCGGCATATATCAAATAAATTCTAAATGGATGCATTTACAATATCAAAACTATGGACTACAGGCACAGCTTGCCAAGGTGGCTTCAACAAGTACAGATGCTTGCTGTTCATACACATTAAAAACGTGTGTGTACAGTTATCAGGGCAACACTTAGTGCAAGTACTGAGGGAGAATAAAAAGGAAGAAGTCTGACTACTGCTTCTTTCAATTCTTACAAAGGTCCCATTTTATAAACCTACATAGAAAGAAAACTTGGGGGAAAAAAAACAAACTTAGAGCACCTACCTGGCCTCTGACAGAAATTTGATTTTCAGTTCCTGAGGAAGATCTTCTTTACAGGTTTTTACAGCAACAGGTGTCTTATCCTTTAACGTTCCCTTATATACCTCACCAAAATTACCCTAAAATAAGAAAAAAAAAATCCTAAATAACCCAGTCTTTACAAATATCCAGAAATAAAATACAAACAGCTAAATAATCACCACAGAACTTTAAATTGTGTTTATGAAATCTTCTTCAAGTCTGTGCTCCTAGCGCAATCAGTCCACACAGAGAATAAATCTATTATATAAATATGTCATATGAGTTCAATTTGGCTTGTGAGAAAAATACATTGCATAATTACAACTTTCTTTTAAATACTCTTAATAACTTAAGTCCTAACCTCTTTCATTTTCAAACTACTGCATTTTTTCAATAGTTTTCAATTTACAGTCCAATGTAACTACACAACCCACTGTAAGACATCTTTATTTCAGCTTGCTTGGAAAGAAAACTGAGATAGACATCTCCATCAGATGTGTTTTTAACTTAAAAAAAAAAAAAAAAAAAAAAAAATTAGCACAAAAATTTAAGAGGAAATTATGTTATTACAGAAATCTGTTATCGAGTAAAATCCATAAAATGGGGAGGAAAGGAAAAAAGAGATCTCAATATCTCACACTTCTAGCTTTCTTTTTCCCCAAAGAGTAAATACAACATTTTAAATATATGTCTGATACATTTCCACATGAATCTCTTCCCCATGTTCTGGTACACAGAGCTGTCAATGACTTCAACAAACAGAAAAAACACACTGGAAGTTTTTCCTTCCTTTTCTCAGTGATAAAGATTTCTTTACACAACATATATGAAGCCTCTATTTCCAAGAAAAGAGAAAAAGAATAAAAAAAAAAAAAAAAAAAAAAAGATGAGGAGCATGATAGAATCACCAAGGTTGGAAAAGGCATTCAAGCTCATCCAGTCCAACTGCAAAGCTACCACCAGTATTTCCCACTAAGTCACATCCCTCAGCACAACACCTAAACATTTCATAAAGACCTCCAGGGACAGTGACCCCACCACCTCTCCGGGCAACTTCTAGTGTCTGACCATTCTTTCAGAGAAGAAATTTTTCCTGATACCCCATCTGAATCTTCGCTGTCACAACTTGATGCCACTTCCTCTAGCCCTATCACTAATTACATGAAGAGGCTGACCTCACCACAACCTCCCTTCAGGTGACTGTACAGAGCAGTAAGATCTTCTCTGAGCCTCCTCCAGACTGAACAATTCCAGCTTCCTCAGCCATTCCTCGTAAGATTTGTGCTTCTGACCCCTCACCAGCTTTGTTGCCCTTCTGTGAATGCACTCAAGGGCCTCAATGGCTTTCCTGTAGTGAGAGGCCAAAAACTGAACACAGTATTCAAGGTGTGGCCTCACCAGAGCTGAGTACAGAAAGATGATCACTTCTCTGTTCCTGCTGGCAATCTATTTCTGATACAAACCAGGATGCCATTGGTCTTCTTGGCCACCTAGGCACACTGCTGGCTCACGTTTAGTGAAGTGCTGACCAACACCTACAGGTCCATTCCTTCCACACAGTCTTCCAGCCACTTCTGCCCCAAGCGTGCAGGGTTGCCTGGGGTTCCTGTGGTCACTGTGCAGCACTTGGTTTTGCTGAACTTCATCCCACTAGCCTCAGCCCAGCTATCTAGCTTGTACAGATCCCTCTGAAGGACCTTTCTACCCTGAAGCAGGTTAACACATCCTTCCAACTTGGTGTCATCTGCAGTCTTACTGAAAGTGCACTCAATCCCCTCATTCAGGTCATCAATAAAGATATTAAACAGGACACACCACTAATGATTGGTTGCCAGCTAGATTTAACGCCATTCACCATCACTCTCTGGGCCCAGCCTTCCACCCAGTTCTTTATCCAGCAAAGTGTGTATCTGCCCAAGCCATGGTCTGCCATCTTTTCCAGGAGAACACTGTGAGCACTCCAGTCATAAGAGTGATCTACCCTATTTCAGTAATGGCAACTAAGTCAAAGTTTGCCTGATACACAATGGCTTCCAGCTCCTTCTTTTGGTTGCCCATGCTTCATGCATTGGTGTAAATGCACTTCAGCTGAGCCATCTGCCCAACCCCATCAATGTTCCCCTAGGCTTATCTCTAGAGAGCCTTCTTTAGGGTAGATTGGTTACCTTGAGGTTGGACTTGGTGATCTTTAACGTCTCTTCCAATCTGAGCAATTCTGATTCTATGACACTCTCAGCCCCTTTCACCTTCATATCTACTTTAAAGCCCTCTCAATGAGTCTTGTCAGCTCTTGAGTTACAATCCCCCCTTGCAACAAGTAAGACCTATCTGCAGTCAACAGATCGTGCACTGAGTAAACCTCCCCATGGTCAAAAAAAGCAAAAATTCCTGCAATTGCACCAGTCTCAGCCATGTATTTATGAGATGGGTTTTCCTGCACCTCTTTAGTATCCCTTGGTGCCACTGAAGTGACAGAAGCTACCTGAACTCCTGCTCTCTCAACTAACCACCTCAATGCTGTTAAGCCCCTTTTGATAGCCCTCAGGGCTCTCTCAGCAATGTCATTGCAGCCAGACTGAACTATCAGTAGACGATAAAGGCAATAACAACCAGACAGGTAAACTAGACAAGGGACACTACTAGTAACAACCTTGACCTGGGTCTAAGGGAGGCAGCACATTCCCCTACTGGACGGGCTTGGCTGACATTATGGGGCATTCTGTTCCTCTCCAAAGGAAGTAGCCTACAACAATTACCCTTCTTTCCTTCTCAGAGGAGGCAGTCTTGAGGAGCAGAGTCAAACTTCTCACTCTAGAAAACCTCCTGGATGGACCTTCTACCTCATCCTTACTTACCTCTGCCTGGCGTTCCAGAGCCTCAAACCTGCCCAGGGAAGTTGTGGAGTCTCCTTCTCTGGAGATATTCAAGACTCACCTGGACACTTACTTGTACGACCTGGTGTAGGAAACCTGCTTTAGCAGAAGGATTGGACTCAATGATCTCTGAAGGTCCCTTCTAAGCCCTACGATTCTGTGATTCTGTGATGCTATTACACAGAGCACCTGGAAAATTGACAAAGATATGAACCGGGTCTGCCAGTAACACTAAACTGGGACCTGCTTCCAGTCCTCATCTCTTACGTCCCCTCGCTCTGCTCAATGACGGCAAGGCAGGGAGTCCGCCACAGTCTGGTGCCTTTCTCTTAGGTGTTGCGGTTACTCCACCAGTCTATCGGAAGAAACTGATAGATGGAACCTACTATCACAATAGTAATGCCAAGGGAAGAAATTCACGTGTCTAAACACAGGACAAGTATTATTTCACACACCCTAAGATGTCTAAGAAACAGCTGGCAAGCAAGCATGCCTGCTCACCATCTATAATGCTTCAGAAACAGTACTTTTAGAGGACCTCTGATATCTAGAAAGGAACTATATGGCTCCTAACATGCTCTTCCTCCAGTGTACTGTTTAAGAGTATTTAACATGGAAAACAAAACACTATTGAACTATTTTAAATGCTTTTAATTCTTCATTTTAAATATTTATCACTTTATCTATAATTTTTAATACAGTATTACATACACTACATACTTGTATATTTCATTTTGCGTGTATTATATAATTAATACTGTACAAATAAATGGACTATTCACTGCTGAAGGGAAAAAAAAAATTCTACTTTCAGAGCATCACAGAACTATAGAATTACATGTGTTGGAAGAGACCTCAAGAGATCATTGTGTCCAAAGTAGATATCCTACAACAGGTCACACAAATAGACATCCAGATAGGTCTTCAGTGTCTCCACAGAAGGAGGATCCACAACCTCTCTGGGCAACCTGCAACCACTGCTCCACTGCCCTTACTGTGAAGTTTTCTTCCACATGTTAGTATGGAACTTTTTACGCACAAATTTTAGGCCACTACTCCTTGTCCCTTCACTACAAACCACCGGAAGAGCCCTGCCTCATCCATCTGCCTCCCACTTTCCTTTAGGTACTCATAAACATTTATCAGATCCTCTCGGTTTTCTCTTCCCCAGGCTGAACAGATCCAAGGTTACTCAGTCTTTCTTCATATGGGAGACTTTTCAGGCCCCTTATCATCTCTGTAGGCCTCCTTTGTGGTCCTCTACTGAAATCCTTCTAGGAGATCCCTCCTTTTTGAACTGGGAAGCCCAGAACTAGACACAGTAGTCTAAATGTGGCCTTATTAGAGCAGAATAAAGAGTATGGCTGGCCATACTCTTCTTAATGCACCCCATGATACCACTGGCTTTCTTGGCCACAAGAGCACACTGCTGGCTCATGGACAGCCTGTTGTCCACCAGGACACCCAGGTCCTTCTCTGCAGAGCTCATCTCCAAGAGGTCATCCCCTTACCTGCACTGATGTATGTGGTTATTCCTCCTCAGACGAAAGCCTCTATCCTTGCTCTTGTTAAACCTCATCAGGTTCCTTCCTGACCAACTCTCCAGTCTGGCCAGATCTTGCTGAATGGCAGCACAGCCTTTCACTGTGCCAGCCACTCCTCCCAGCTTTATACTGCTGGCAAACTTGCTGTGGACTCTATCCCTTCATCCAAGTCATTCATGAAAGTGTTGAACAAGACCAGACCCAGCACCTATTCCTGGGGAACACAGCTAGTAACAGACCTCCAACCACACTCTGCGCAAATGATGACAGCCCTCTGAACTCTGCCAGTCAGCCAGTTTTCAGTCGCACTGTCCACTCATGTATCCCATGCTAAGTTTCATAACAAGGATGTTGTGGGAGATGGTGTCAAACGCCTTGAGGAAGTCAAGGTAGACAGTATTCACTGCTCTCCTTCATCTACTCAGCCTGTGATGACATTACAGAAAGCTACCAGGTTGGTGAAGCATGATTTTCCCTTTGTTGAATCTGACTGACTACTCCTGATAATCTTCTTCTCTTCCGAGTGCTTGGAGCTGGCATCCAGAACAAAATGTTCCATCACCTTTCCAGGGATGGAGTTGAGGCTGAGTGGCCTGTAGTTGATTGGATTATCCTTCATGCCCTTTTTGACAGCCACTTTGCTAAGTCTGCATCAGTGTTCCCTGATTTTCCTAGCCACTGTTTCCAGTAGACTCAGACTTCTCACTTAAATGATCAACAGCTGCAGTTTATGTAATATTTTCATAATGGAAGTTAATGATCTTCTCACCCTTATGTTTTCTAGTTTGATTATATCATCTGAGAAAAGAATACATTACACATTTATAAGGTTTACAAGAAAGTTATTAACCTGTTTTAAAATTTTAAAACTCCATATCCTACTAAAATCAGTTTTAAGACTGCTCTGTCTTCATCAATTTATTAAAATATTTTGCAAAAAAAATGCAATACATATGTAAACTTTTTTAGAAATCAATGTTCAGACTATGTCAACTGTCTCGATAGGTGCAGAAGTAATGAAAATTTAAGTCAGATATTGTATTTCAGTAGAAGCAGTTCATAAGAACTGCAGCTCATATGCAGAATTTGTACTATTTTTGTACTATTTTTGTACTATATTTGTACTATTACAATAAATCATACAGTAACAATGAATATTTGGTTTAACAAATATTGCCTACATTATCATCTTATTTCAATTTTTTCTTTTACTTACATGCTTTTCATATTTTTAAGCAATTTTAAAAATAAAAATCAAAAAAAGAATTTTTTTTTGCAAGACTGCACAATTTAAACTGTAATATAATGCTTTGCAGACACGTAATTAACTTAAAATCCTTACAAATAAGAAAAACACGTATGCTAAATATTTTTAGCAGACACATCACGCGATTCACTATTATATGCAATAAGCATTTATACTTATACAATACTAACTCATGTATTAAAGCAAAATAGTTGGTATAAAAATCACAGTAATTTAAAGGATAAAGCAATAGGAAATATACAGGCTTAATGACTAATACGTATTTATTTACATGTTGATAGCTCACTTGATTACTTACTTTGCCCAGTAATTCTCCCAGAGTGACATCCTCATGATTGAGAACCCATTTCTTATCCTATGGTAAGAAAAGGAAAGAAGAATGCTCAGTAGTATCAAATACATACTTCCTATTACATACACTTCAGCAAGTCGAAATGTAACTAAAGAAGCGTTTGTTCAGACTGCTCAGTCAAAAGCACAGCAGGAAGTTAAAAACAGCATTCAGAAAACACGCTTTTCAAGGAAATGCTAAAATACACAGTATAGCCTGTTAAGTGCATCAATTAAGTAGACAGTATGTGTGCTAATAAACAATACACATGCACGTTCTCATGCAAGCTCTGAAAACAGTATCTAGTGCCCCATTTTTAAAAATGACTTGAGCCAAAACTTCATATTTTAGAATATGAAGTAATTTATTGCAGGGTCAAAAACAAAAACAAACCCAAATCAACATTTATTTTCTCAGTGCCAATATATACTGATTTTTTTGCTTATTAACAAGGTACATATGGCATATCTTAAGTCTTAGGTCTTAATCTTCTTTGATAGTTTGATACATAACAGCCAACTACCTGAGAAGACAACATAATAAACACAAGCCATTGGATCTGTGCAGTGCTGATGACTAACAACTTTATTTCTTTATTAGCACCTAATCTGCTTATCACCTCACAAACACCATTAATACTAATCATATTAATGGTAAGATTCTATGTATTTTTTGTTAATAAAAACTCACTAAAGCTCACAGAAGACCAAATCAACCACGCTGGCTTTGCTGATTGACTTCTTAGTGAAATCTTAACAGACCAATCTCCTGGTGCAAAACAGGAGGTTACTCACGTGCGCAAATAAATACTTGATGGTAGGGAAGGAATAAGAGGCAGCCAGGCTCCTCAGTGGCTCCCAGTGATGGGATAGGTGGCAATGGGCACAAATGAGGAAAAACGATATGTATTCTGAACTTGAGGAAGTGTTTTTCTCACATAAGCGATGAAACACTGTACCAGGATGCCCAGAAAGATTCTGAGTCTTCACCTGCAGGGACACTCAATACTCAACTGGACCCACTCAAGCTGACACAGTTCCTATGGGGGAGGGTTGGATGGATGATATCAAGTCTCTTATAATCTAGCTAAGCCTGTGAGAAATGTATGTAATTAAACCTTAATGTAGGGAATTCACTCTCTTTTTATAGATACAACACGTCTGTAACTAACATGCTAGGTCAAGCATGCTAGTTACCAGCACAGAACCAGATATTTCACACATTATATTTCCTGCCAAAGACTGCATCCTAATTGAAGGCAATGCCACAGCCATGACTATCTTTAACATGTTTTCAAGTTTAAAAAGAAACACTGAGTGTACATTTATTTGCCATTAAATTAATCAGTAAGACACATCCCAACATAGGAAGCATTGATTTCCTAGAAAGCAAGCCATTAAAAAACACATATACAACCCCTATGGCTGAACCATAGGTAACAAGTGCAGAACACTGCACAATCTGTGTACAGCGATTTCTGAACAACATTTCTGTAGAATAAATCTTAAGATAATCTTAAAAGAAGCTGAACAGTTTTATGAATGTTTCTTTCATCTTCTCAACTTGATTTTGTTAAAAATTAAAAATGCTTTGTTCACTAAAGTCTGTAAAATTTGTCAGGTACTTTTTGCTGATTAGATTCCTTATTCAGAAGTTGTTATATTTTGAACAGCTAGAAAAAGCCATCAAAGTGCATTTGCCTTCACCAGTAAAGCTCAAATTTAAGATAACAACTGGGAAATAAAGCTCTAAAGAAAATAAATACATAAATGACTACTTGATGCATTAACATAAAACTTTCTAACTTTGAAATAAATAATGCTAAAGCCAATAAGTTATAAAGTCAAATATTAATGTCTTTTTAACCTCTTAATTCTCAATGTTCCATATTTCAGTGAATGACTTTTGGAAAACTGACAACATGGCATTACAAACACTTCTTTATAAAGTAAAAATCCAATGCATAATCCTTCAGAGAAATAATTAAACAAAAAGGCACCATGAGCTGTAATCAACTGATCTGGCAAAAGATTTGTTATTATAGTAACATATTAATCACTACCCACATTTCTCTTTTAGGAAAACCTTCTGTTTTTTATTATATCAGCATGGGCTATTAATTACACTGAGTATCTTCACTGAGTATCTTGCTTCAAAAAAATTATTTGTCAGCATATGCAAACAGTAGTGCCTTGCTTGTTTCAAAGGCACTACTACTACAATAAATGAATATTCATATGAATGATAAGTAAATTGGTTTCCTACTTACTAGAGTTTTCTGTGATCAGGAATCTTTAGTTACTTTTGTAGATACACAGACTCTGTCTTAAGATAGAGACTAATTGCATAAGCCATTCCTGTGGCTACCTGACTGAAAAGGTGGCAGGTACAGCTGCAGCAGACACTCAGACAATCCCTTCTCATTCTAATTGATATCTCTCCAAAACTGTTCTTTCACTACTCATTAGGCACCATCTGGACCAACCAGAAAAACAGACAGCTAAACAAAACAATACAGCCCTTGGCACATCACACTCCTTCTGACTGCAATCATCATTCATTTTCTTTTTTAAACTTCTGTGTACACGTAATAGATTCTGACACCAGTAATACTATCCACATGATCCAGGAAAAAATAGCAAAAGATATGTATTGTAAAACAATTAACAGAACAGAACCTGTAACCCAGAACTTCTAAGTCAATTCCCCTCATCTGCTAAGTTTTTCTGTTACGTTCCTCTCTCCCAGTTTCTGCTCTCTCTTGGGTTCATCGAAAACTTAAAGGAACAGAAAAACACCTCCAAAGAATATGGAGAGAAATTTTTGTACTAGGAAATATTAAAACACAAATATTAAACCCCTTAAAACAATTTTCACCTTGTGAATGTTAATATTGAGCTTCTGAGTGAAAAGACAGCAGTTCTGTACTAAACTCATGGAATCACAGAATGGTTTGGGTTGAAACAAACCTCCAAGATCATTTAGTTCCTACCCCCTTGCCATGAGCAGGGTTGCCACCTAATGGATCTGTCTGCTGTCTGGGGCCCCCATCCAACCTGGCCTTGAACATCTTTAGGGACTGGGCATCTGCAGCTCTGGGCAGCTGTGACAGTGCCTCACCAGCATCCGGATAAAGGATTTCTTTGTAACGTCTAACCTAAATCTTCTCTCTTTCAGTTGAAAGCCATTCCTCTCCATCCTGCCTCTATCAGATCATGTAAAAAGTCAGTCTCCTTGCTGTTTAATAGTTTCCCTTCAAGCACAGTGAGACCATAATGACATCTCCCAATGCTTTCTCTTCTCCAGCCCAAACAACCCCAGTTCACTCAGCCTTTCTTCCTTATAGGAGATGTGCTACTCTTCCAGATCCACTCCAACAGCTCCATGTTTTTCTTGTGCTGCGGTCTCCCAACTTTTATCATCAAGCTCATCTATGAATGCAAGTCTGAAACTGGTCCCTCTGTATCAGCACTTGTCAAGTTGAAGAAAACATTTTGTAGCATTAAAAACATAAGTTGGAGCTTAAAATTTTATCTAGTATCTTTCAGCACCTGCTAAGTGATTTAACCCCTGCTCATTCTACCAACCTGCACCAAGGCTGTTTCATCAGCACAGACAGATAGAAAGAAACTAAGAGAGACATTGTAATCTGTATCATGCCAGCATATAAATCTGGCATTAGTAAATTTTTTTAAAAATACTCTAATTTGCAGTAAGATAAATATTCAATTAATTGTTTTGAAATAGTGTCATTGATTCAAATAATTATCTCTGAACTTATAAACAGAACTGCAAAGCAGACAACCACAAGGACTACTGTTTCTACTGCAGGTATATTATCTCACTAATTCTGCTCAAATTGTGCTGAATTAAATATGGTATTGTCCTGTATTTTTGGACAGCTGCCAATAATTACCATACGAATGAATTATATGTGCAAAACAAAAAACCCAACAAACCAGGTGATATAAAATAAAATAGCAGCAAAGCAGGAAATACAAGATAAACTTTAATACAGGTATGGATGAATCGTTACTAAAGACTACCAGTTTGAGTAATAAAAAAAATCTCATTTCAATAGAGTTGTTTCTAAAACAAAGAGAGCAAATTAACTAGGTTTTCATACTTAACCATAAGCTACTCTGAATGAGAGAGAAGGTCAGAACACACGAGACTATTACTGCCATTCCTATTTCTAGCTATCCCGGCTCCAGCTGGGATAGGGTTAATTTTCTTCCAAGCAGTTGGTATGATGCTGTATTCTGAATTTATGATGAGAAAAACGTTGATAACACACTGGCAGTTCAGTTTTTTTGCACAACACTACCTGCACAGAGCCAAGGATTTTTCAGCTTTTCATACTGCCCTGACAGCGAAGGGGATTGGAAGCATGAGGAGCCGTGAAGGGACAGAACCAGGATAGATGACCTAAACTGATCAAAAGGGGATATTCCATATCATATGACATCACACAGAATTATAAAACTGGGGCCAGCTGGCTGAAAGAGGCTGCGGTCTTAGGGGCTGTCTGGGTATTGGTCAGTTCACGATGCTGAGGAATTGCGTTGCGCATCACTTGCTTTGTGTATTTTTTCCTTTTTCATCCCAACCCCCATTACCTACTTTCCTTGCCTATTAGATTGTCATCACTCTTTTTCCCCCTAATTCTCTTGCATCTTCCACAGAGGGTGGAGTGACCAAAGGGCTCTGTGCTACTGCACTGCCTGCTGGGTTAAACCACAACACCTGCAAAAGGAGCCTATTATGATGTAACCTTGCAAATCGACCATAAATCACACTTTAAATCACACTTTACCTAGTGCTTGTTTAGGCTTTTTTTTTTTTTATTGCTAATTTTTGACTGGAGTATTTGAAAGCAATTCAGACAAATCTGATAGAAAAATTAGTGCTTCGACATACATGATTGGTATCTTCACCATGTACCTTACTTCCAAACAGAGTTATTTAAGAAACACAGACATTATTATTTTTCTTTTCCTCACAGGTCCTCTGGCATCCAAACC